AGCGAGCGACGACAGCGTCGTACAGGGCCTTAGCGGATTTGCAGTCGCCAAAATGCTCTAGCTCAGCTAACGGCAGGTGACTGCGAATGGCTAGGCGAGCAGCTGCGTCACGAGTCTGCCAGTGGGAACGAACACTAAGCTCAGCTGTGGCAGGAGGGGCAGGCGCAGCACCAGACGCGTAGTCATAGAGCGACACATGCTCCTTGCTATCGCTCAGGAGAAACAGCTGCAGGTCATCTAGCCAAGCGGTGAAACGCACAGGGCGGCCCTCAGTATCGAACGACAGCACGCGAATGGAAGCCATAGCGACAGTGTGACAGAGTAACGAAAACTGCCGCAGCAGGGGAAGACGACTGTGCACGGATAGAGAGCAGCGGGCGAGGCTGGCGCTACGGGCAGGCGGCGCTGCAAGCGGTCAGTGCGACGGGAGGGCGACGCTGCGAGCGGGCAGCGCGGCGGACGGGCCGGAAAGCGGGCAGCGCGGCGGGCAGGCGGCGCTGCAAGCGGGCAGCACGGTGGGCGGGCGACGCTGCGAGGCGGGCGGGCCGCAAAGCGAGCAGCGGGCGGGCGGGCGGGCTGCGAAGCGGGCAGCGGGGCGAGCGGGCTGCGATGCGAGCGGGCCGCGAAGTGGGCAGCGAGCGGGCGGGCGGGCTGCGAAGTGGGCGGGCCGCGAAGCGGGCAGCGGGGCGAGCGGGCTGCGAGGCGGGCGGGCCGCGAAGCGGGCAGCGAGCGGGCGGGCGGGCTGCGAAGTGGCGGGCCGCGAAGCGGGCAGCGAGCGAGCGGGCTGCGAAGCGGGCGGGCCGCGAAGCGGGCAGCGAGCGAGCGGGCTGCGAAGCGGGCGGGCCGCGAAGCGGGCAGCGAGCGGGCGGGCGGGCTGCGTAGTGAGCGGGCCGCGAAGCGGGCAGCGAGCGGGCGGGCGGGCTGCGAGCGGGCGGCTCGGCGAGGGGCGCGCGAGGGCGCTAGTGAGAGGCGCGCGAGGGCGCTAGTGAGGGGCGCGCGAGGGCGCTAGTAAGGGGCGCGCGAGGGCGCTAACGAAGGGGCGCGCGAGGGCGCTGACGTTGGGGGGCGCGCGAGGGCGCTAACGAGGGTGCGCGCGAGGGCGCTAACGAGGGCGCACGAGGGCGCTACGAGGCTAGGGAACGGGGTAGCGTGGTAACCGCATGCGAGCGGTGGTGGGCCCTAAAAACGATCGGTAGGTCCTAGGGACCTCCTGCTCTGAATACCATGTCAGAATCACTAGGCAAGAATGATTGAACTAACAGAAGTTTGGGTACAAATATGAAACCCTAGTTGGGGTTGTACCCCATATTGGCTACCCCACTACAGCCTACAAGCATAATACAGTTTAACATCACCCGCTATATAAACAAGCCCTTTTATCCCAGTGGTTAGTGGTTGGGATTCTGACAAAAAAATAGTGGGCAACACGGAGTTATACCTCATCCGACAAAAGCGGACGCTGGGTGAACGGCGGCAAGCGAAATTGTCGGGGGGTGACGACAAAAAAAAATGGAGGGAAAGTCGTGGGTGCTCCAGCAGATCTCCTGAGTGAAAGGTTGAGAACGTGCACCACTCCACCGCGAATTTCGGAGTCTATTCGGTAGACACCCGAAACGGTTTGATATTTTTACATGGAGGTGCGGCGAGGGGTGCATTGCCAAGGATACATGGGATTCACTAAGTATTTTTGACGGGTATGAAGACGGGTGAACGCCGGAGTACCAGGGTCAACGTCGGAAACGTCGGGGTTACGCGGCGGAAAATACTTCGGGTCTGCTTCAACAACCATAATCTCGGGCGAAATTCCTAGGTGGGAGACGGGTGAACGTCTGCCCGCCAGCGGTTTCAACATTTTACGTTGTACTTCGAAGCCACCTGGGGATATCCTATGGCGAGATCTGCGGCGTTGATGCGGGCTAGGTTTTGTGAAATTCGGTCCCGGTAGACCCATAGTTCTGGGTTCCGCACGAAAGAGCACCTCCTTTTGGTGGGTTGCTAGCGTGGTTAACCACAAGCGACAAAAATGGCGACGGGTGGGCACGCGATATACACCGGTTCTTCAACGGGGCAACCTGCAGGTGACCAAGACGTACGAGTGTTTTCGGCACCGACATTTACGGGAGTACCGAGTATCGGTTTTACAAGAGTCGGCAGTGACGGCCGACAATTTCGTGAATACGGCGGAGTTGCAGCAGCGCTGGGTTAAGCGCGCGAAAACTGCCGTGGTGAACTTCATGGCGGCAAAACCTGCATAGTTTCAGGGGTACCAGCCGCAACAGGTGGGGGGAGGAAGGACAGTTTTTTCGCCTCTGCCCCGAAGTTCTCGGCGAGTAGCGGCAACGTTGCCGACGGAGCTGACGTCATGTTAATTCCAGTTTGAGGTTGGAAAATGTATTGCAGTAGTCAGGGGGAAGTGCAGCAGCTGTTTTCGCCTCTTCCCGAGAGTTTTCGGAGAATAACGACAAAAGCCTCAGCGAGTTACGACAAGGTCGCCAAGGGTACTGACGTCATACGAAAATGAGGCTGCGTTTTCGATGGAGTTTTCAAGACGATCATTCGGTCAGTTACGTGATCCGCCACCTCGCCGAGTGTCGCTGAAGCTCCACAACGAATTCACAATTTTTGCGACGACTGCGACGACGAACTAAAAGGATTCGGAGTCACGACTAAAGGAAATTTGGACTAGTTTCGGGGTCTTGAACTAGCGACAAGGCGACCAACAGGTTCGCGCCAGCGACACAATTGGATTTTAGGTTGGCAGCTGCTGACAGCTGAAGATGCTGCAGCAATCAAAGATTTCGATTCTGCCATAGCAACACGACAGCAACAGAGATTTTCGAAATGCAGATGCTGCCAGCTGGGGAAACTGCCCAGCAACCGGGAAACATTCGTGACAACAGGAAAATTCTCCATCGCGGGAATTCTACGACGAGCATCGGTAGGATTTATCCAGGGTATTCTTCGGACTTATCCACAGTTGAGATTTCACCACCACCTGCAATTTCGACAGCGCAGCTGCCAACATCCTGACGGGGCCCATTGCACTTGGTCTTCGTACTACCCTCGGCGTACAGGGTGGTTGTGGACCGCGTAGCTGTACACGTTTTGGTGAGTGGCACTTATCTTCAAGAGGGGGAGAAAGAGTGCTCTCGCATTGTACTTGTCAGTATTTCTGACACTTTTGCCTGACACATCCAGCACGACGGACGCTCGCGATGGATTCATCGACATCTACAGCACGAAATTCATCGATCTCTGACTGCGCGTCAGAATTTCCGCCGACATCGCGTTAATCCATACCGTCCGACACGATTCCACCACATCAACCGTTTCCATTTATCGGCGGATTTTCAACTCGACATTCGCTTTCAATTGCCCGATCGACATCGGCAGTATCAATGGCTGACATTTCAACTATTTTAAATTCACCTGGTCAACGCGCTCAGCCACGCGTCAACTCGAAAGTCAACATGCTTCCGCACCGTCAGATCAGTTTCGACCGAGATCTGCAATTATCACGCTACTGCAAGACTCGGCTACGTATAAGGGCACCTTATTTAGAAGGTGGGAGAGTGTAATGAATGTGAATTCATTACTGTAGAGGCTGCTCCTAGCGAGGACAGCCCGAACTGTTCGCGTCAGTTTGGGCTCGGCCTACACTTTCGTACCGAACCAGCGCCGACCCGCCCCGCACCAATCGTGACATTTCCAAGCCACGCACATTACGAGGTTCTCGCCTAGAACGGATTCGACCCTATAAATGCCTGTTTCATTGTTGAAATTAGAAGGTCGCTAGACTAGCGGAAATACTATAGGAAGATAACGACGTCCCTGTAGCGGGGCAACTGGTCACTCAGAGGTAGCTCTTCAGGCCTGGCACATGGTGCCATTGCTGCGGCCGAGGGAAAGCCGGACACAAGGATGAGAATTGTGTAATATTAGCAAGGTATTACATTTGGTTATATAGCAAACGCATAGGGCAAACGGATACCAAGGCGCAACTGTATAACAGTTGCGCTGCGTCGCTTGGGTTGCCTTGTTTCAGTCGCGCTTGCGAAACCTTTCAGCTTCGGCAAGGGCGCGGTATCTTGCCGCGCCCCGTATGTCAGTTTCGCGTACTGTAGACGATGCAAGCTGTAGATCGCGACTCTTCAGCTGCCACGAGGGTCGCAACTGCTGTGCGCGGTTGCGCCCCTGTAGCTCGATTCTCCAGTCAACACCCCCGCTATGACGAGGTTCGTTAGCACACTTCGAACAACGTACTTTAATACATAATCACACAATCATATTCCCAACATTCTTTATCATTCTCGTCATTCTGTAGTCTTCCGCGCACTCTTCTTAGTACAACTCATAACATCGAACATGAGCTGGTTACAGGCTTCTCAACCCAGGTAACCTTTCGGAACCCTAACAAATCCATGCCCAACGAGCCACGCCTTTTCTGGGATGTACACCTGCGTGCGACCGTCGCTGGTTGATTCCGTGACTCCCGCTTTGAGCCAGTCAATAATCTCCAAGAAAAACTCGCACAGTCATAGTACATTTCATTCGCACACAAACTATTAGACAAGTTTAGTACAACAGAAGGCCGTCGCCGCACTTTTTAAAGTTTTGGACCGTCTGAAATGAGTTGTTTCTGCTTCGGCGGTGGCAACACACGGGACGTTTCCCCACCGCCACAGCAGAACAATCCGACAGTCGCAAGAACGCTGAGCGACGCCAAGAATCCCACCGCGGTTAGTAGAGCAGCGAGCGACGCAAAGAGCCCGAGAGCGCTGAAGCGACATATTTCCAACACCGCAGCAGACCCTACTGGGATCACCACAAACACCGCCACATTGCCAGATCCGTCCTTCTTACCGAACCCAACCGCAGCGGATCCGCATTACCGAATCCAACTGCTCTACTTTCGAACCCTAATGCTGTTCCCACCGCACTTCCGTGTCCCGAAAGCGGGCCGTTGCTGCCCGCGGAGTCCGTTATCGTGACTATATCGAATGGTGGCGGTGACATCGTTTCCCCCGCTACTACAAAGCAACCGCAGTAGGCAGTATCAGCCTCGGTGCTAAGTCCGAACCCCGCGGGACCGTCGATTCTGATATCCTCTGCCGCTACTAATGCTACCAATGATATTATTGGTGCTAGTGCTGCTAATACTCATAGTAATTCTCCCCAAATCGCGTCTGTAACTGTCGTAACTCCTAGTCCGCGAGGAGCCGGCGCCTCGGTTGCTGCTACTAACGCGTTCGCCGCGCATCGTCTCCCAAGCCCTGCTGCTCCGCTGCCCGCCCCTAAGGCCGCCACGTCATCAGCTACCGCCACGTCAGCAGGTCCTGTCCAGGTAGGCGCTGACACCCCGAGCCCGCGCGGAGTGGCGGCGGACGGAAGCTTCCAGAGTTCGCGCGGGCGGAAGAAGCTGTCCGCCGCGCAGCCGTTGCGCACCCCCAGCGCATTGGCGCGCCTCCCCCTCCCTGCATCTTCCGCCGCCACGTCCTTCGCCGCATCCGCCCCTTCCGCCGCTTCCGTTGCTTCCGCCCCTTCCGCCGCTTCCGTCACTTCCGCCGCTTCCGCCTCCTCCGCATCCTCTATCCCCGTCGGCGCATCCTCCATCTCCCCCTCCACCTGTTGTGCCTCCCCCTCCGCCGCTTCAGCCTCCCCCGCCGCGAATTCCCCCGGCGCCAGCCAACCCGCGGAGAACTCCAGAAATGCTTCTCCGGAAACCACCAGCACTGCTCCGCCCGCGCAGGTGGCGCAGGTCGGTTCCGCTGCCGCCTCTCCCGCCGCTACGCCCTCCGATGTCGGCGCTGGCGGCGTCCCCAGCGCTCCGGCGCTCTGCCGGCTGTGGGAATTGTGGCAGCGGTGGTGCCCCTTCCGCTGCCAGCGAGCGGCGAAATCGCCGCGCGCGCAGCTGCCGCGTCCAGCGCGCAACCTGCGAGCCCGGCGGGTGGCGCGGGCGCAGGGGGGGCGGGGGGCGTGGGGGGGGCGCGGGGGGCGCGGGGGACGCGCGAGCTGTGATTCTGCCTTCCCCCAGCGCCGCCCCCTTGGGGACAAGCGAGCAGGGAGTAGGGGGAGGAGGGGAGAGAAATGTGGGGTCGTTAGGGAGGCATGGAGAGGAAGGGGGTGAGGAGAAACAACAGCAGCAGCAGCAACAACAACCATCGCAGCAGTCACATAGAGACAATCAAGGGCAGAAAGGACAACCTGGTGATGGAAATGGATCGCTTCATAGCGGGGACAGCAGCGCCTGCACCAGCACTGTAACCGAAGCAAAGCCGCCATCCCCAGCTGCTGGTGCTGCCGCTGCTGCCTCTGCTGCTGCAGCTGGTGCTGCTTCTCCAACCGCTAGTGCTGCTGCTTCTGCCGCCTTGCTGCTGCTGCTGCTGCTGCTGTAGACGCAGCAGTTTCAGCTGCTGCTAGTGCCAGCAGCACCGGCAGCAGCAGTGGCAGCAGCAGCGGCAAGGGGAAAGCGCCAATGCCCCTGATTCCCTTCACGTACGCGCAGGTGCAGCACACGGCAAGGGGGTTTGCGGAAGAGGGTAGAATTAGCGAGGTTGGGTTCGACGTGGTGTACAAGGGGAATTTACCCACGAAAAGAGGGCGCAAGATTCTCGTGGCGGTGAAAGTGTTGCATGCGGAGGGGCAGCAGGTAGGCGTTTGATTGAAGCTCAGCATGTAGGCGTTGATATAATCGTATCAGGTAAGTGTTTAGATGATTGTATAGATATGTTGGCCGACCGGTAGGCTGGTATCACGCACTTCTAAATGGTTTGTGTATGATGATTTGGACCTTTTTTATCAAGCAATTCTGATATGGAATTTTTTTATCAAGCACTTCTGATATGGACTTTTTTTTTCGAGCACTTCTGATATGGATTTTTCCAGCCTGTGTGCTGTGTACGGTGGGACAGTCACAATTGCTGGTGCATTTTTCCCTCTGAATTCGCATTTCCCTTCCCCACACCCTTGGCCCCAAACCCTCTCCTCCCATCACTTCCCCGCCTCTCGCCTTTAATCCCCCCTCAGACCCCACCTCATCTTTCAACCATCTCTCGCGCCCTTCATCTCTCCCTTCATCGCCCTCCACGGCCCTTACCCCTTCCTTTCTCCCATCAGCCCTTCCCCCTTCCTCTCTCCCATCAGAGCGAGCGCAAGTGGTTGACAGAGGTAAGCTTTGGGACCCTTTTTTCTCACCCCAACCTCAACTCCCTCGTGGGTTACTGCGCTCACCACCACACCACAGCCAAGTGCTCCTCTACCCCTATTCCCTTTCACGCTGTCTCTCTCCCGCCCGTCCCCCCTTCCCTCCCTGTGTCTCCCTCTCCTGCTTCCCTTCTCCCTCTTCCCTTCTCCATCTGCCCATCTCCCTCTCCCCATCCCTCACTACAGGGCTAGTGCGAGTGGTTGACTGAAGTGAGTGTGTTGGCCCATCTCTCCCACCCCAACCTCATCTCTCTCGTGGGTTACTGCGTGCACCACCACCACCGCATGCTCGTCTACCCCTCTCACCCTCCCGTTCCCCTTCCCCCTGTTTCCTTTCTCCTCCCCGTCCCGCTTCCCCTCCCCGAGTCCTCATCTTCTTCTTCCCCTCTCCCTCTCTCCCTCCACCTCTCTCCCGTCTCTCTCCTGTCTCTCTTCCCCTCACTACAAGGCGAGAGAGAGTGGTTAACTGAAGTGAGTGTGTTGGCCCATCTCTCCCACCCCAACCTCATCTCTCTTGTGGGTTACTGCACGCACCACCACCACCGCATGCTCATCTACCCCTACCTGCCCAACGGCTTCCTCGAGCGAAAACTTTTCAGGCTGCCCGCAAAGGAAACGCCGTTGACGTGGCAGCAACGGATTGGCATTGAGGTCGGGGCGGCCAAGGGCCTAGCGTATCTGCACGAGGAGATGGACAAACCGGTAAGGTCAATATCAGCCTATGTTTTGTTTTCGACCCAAATTGTTCGGCCTGGCATCACGGTCCGGGCGGCCAAGGACTTGGCGTATCTGCTCTGCACCTAGAGATGGAGAAACCGGTGAGTTTTGCATCGACTCAAATGTAATATCTATTCACTCTAAAAATTGTTTGTTGAGACAGATAGCGCAAAATGCTCAAAGGGCCTAGCCTGGCGTATCTGTGCGAGGAGATGGAGAATCCGGTGAGTGATGAGATGACCCAGATGTGGTTAACTTGTCTTAAACTTCAAAGGACCGTGATCTCTAAAAGTTCAACATCTCATTAACCAAGGACTAGCAGGCCACGCTCTCACTCACTCACTGTTACCGCCAACGCGCCCCCACTCCACCCCATCAGATCATCTATCGTGATCGTGATTTCAAAACGTCCAACATCTTATTAGCTAAGGACTGGCACACCAAGCTCCCAGACTCAGGACTCCCTCTCATTCACTGCTACCATCACCTTTCCCTATCTCTTCCCTTTGCCTCGTCATCCACCCCACCCCACCCCACTCCATTTCTTCATATTATTTTCCGTGATTTTAAAACCTCCAACATTTTGTTGACCAAGGACTGGCAAGCGAAGCTCTCAGGCTTTGGGCTCCCACTCACTCATTCCGCCACCTTTGCCTCATCCCCCATCTCAACCCATCCCGCCCCACTCACCCCTCTCCACCCATCAGATCATCTTACCGTGATTTCAAAACGTCCAACATCTTTTGAACCAAGGACTGGCAGGCGAAGCTCTCTGACTTTGGGCTCGCAAGAAGCGGGCCTGAGGGGGACAACACACACGTGTCCACTCGGGTAAGCACCTAAGCACATGCATGTTGACGGGTAAGCACATGCACGTTCACGGATAAGCACATGCACGTTCACAGGTAAGCACATGCACGTTCACGGGTAAGCACATGCACGTTCACGGGTAAGCACATGCACGTTCACGGGTAAGCACATGCACGTTCACGGGTAAGCACATGCATGTTCACGGGTAAGCACATGCACGTTCACGGGTAAGCACATGCACGTTCAAGGGTAAGCACATGCACGTTCACGGGTAAGCACATGCACGTTCACGGGTAAGCACATGCACGGTCACGGGTAAGCACATGCACGTTCACGGGTAAGCACATGCACGTTCACGGGTAAGCACATGCACGTTCACGGGTAAGCACATGCACGTTCACGGGTAAGCACATGCACGTTCACGGTTAAGCACATGCACGTTCACGGGTAAGCACATGCACGTTCAAGGATAAGCACATGCACGTTCACGGGTAAGCACATGCACGGTCACGGGTAAGCACATGCACGTTCACGGGTAAGCACATGCACGTTCACGGGTAAGCTCATGTACGTTCACGGGTAAGCATATGCACGTTCACGGTAAAAACGCATGCACGTTTACGGATAAGCACCGTGGGCTGGCATCTTGCACGCCAAGCTCTCAAATTTTGGGCTCTAAGGGTCCTTGTGGATCTCATGGCCCTTGTGGATCTCGTGGATCTCGTGACACTCTTCTCCGAGCAAGTGGGGAAGTTTCGGAGCAAGTCAGCAAGTGGAGCTCGGAGCAGCGTGCGGGGGAGAAGGTGGGGGGGGGAAGGGAGGGGGGGGAAGTTGTGTTTGCATCAATATTAGTGTCAACTCACAAAGCATGCAGTTGCGGCAGCGGCAGCATGGAGCAACATGCGTGCCCAGTCAGATTCACTAGAGTATGTGTCTCGAGTTTGTCTTGCTGCCTTGCTGTGAGATTTGCCGCCTCTCAAAGCCCACGCTTTTGCCCTTCTGGCATCTTCCTCCCCCCACACCCCTCCCCACCCCTCTCTATCCTTCTCTACCACTTCAGGTAATGGGCTATGCCAGCCCAGAATACGTGCTGATGGGACATCTGACGTTGAAGTGAGGAGTGACGTATCTGCCTCTGCCTTTGTAACGTCTCATACCTCTCCCTCCCCTATCCTCCTTGTTCCCCCTCCTGCTCCTTGTCCCCCCATGCCAGGTGGTGGGCACGGTGGGCTACGCCTCCCCGGAATACGTGCTGATGGGGCATTTGACGGTGAAGAGTGATTTGCACCCTCCCCCTCTCTCTCCCTCCTTCCACCCTACCTCCCGCCCCACTCGCATCTCTCATGGCAGGTGGTGGGCACGGTGGGGTATGCGGCCCCCGAGTACGTGCTGAAAGAGCATCTGGACGGTGCAGCTTCGGAGTGGTGCTTCTGGAGCTGATGACTGGCCGGCTGGCACTAGACAAGTCAAGGTGGGTCAACAGGGGTCAATGCAAGTCAACAGGAGTCAATGAGAGTCGGCACTAGTTCTGACAGGCCATCGCTGAACCCACCACAGACCCAAAGAAGAACAAGCCCTGGCAGAGTGGGCAGCCCCCTTCCTCGCTTCGCCCTCCCAGCCCTACCGAATCATATACCCTGCTCTGTCCATTCTCCCTCCCCATTCCCACCCATTCCCACCCCCCTTCGTCCTTCCTAAACCCAATGTGGGCCTAAAGCGGAACAATCCCTGGCAGAGTAGGCAGCACCTTTTCTCGCTTCTCCCTCCAAGCTCTATCGAATCATGGACCCGGTCCTCTCCATCTGTCCCCCTTCCCCTCCCACTCCCCATCTGGCAGGGTGGGCGGCTCCCTTCCTCGCTCCCCCTTGAATTATGGACCCTGCTTTGTCGGGCCGCTACAGCGTGAAGGGCGCTCAGACGGTGGCGATTGTAGCAAGGGACTGCCTTGTTTTCTGTGCTCCTTCTGCGACACGTTGGCACCCCATTTCACCGCTCTGAATCCACTCCATGTGTAACACTCCCCCCTCAATGGTTCTTGTACCCCTGTGCAGACCCAAAAAAACCCAATCTCTGGCAGAATGGGCGGCTCCCTTCCTTACTTCCCCCTCGAAGCTCTATCGAATCATTGACCCGGCTCTCTCCGTCTGTCCCCCTTCCCTTCCCACTCCCCTTCTTTCCACCCTTATTCCACCTCAGGCCCAAGGAGGAGCAGTCACTGGCAGAGTGGGTGGCCCTCTTCCTCGCTTCCCCCTCCAAGCTCTACCGGGTCATGGACCCTGCTCTCTCGGGCCGCTACAGCGTGAAGGGCGCTCTGACGGCGGCGGCTGTAGCAAGAGACTGCCTCACCCGCAAGGCCAAGCAGTGGCCGCGCATGTCAGAGGTGGTAACCACGTTACATCCGGTGCTGGAGCTCTTTAATATGGCGGGATTTGATTCCTCCGGTGTTGGTGTGGGCGGCGGGCTAGGAGGAGGGGCAGGAGGGAAGGAGGGGGATTAGGGGGAGTAGGAGGTATAGGGGGAGGGAGTGGAGCAGGGGGAGCATTGCTGACAAGGTCTTCTAGTGAGAATAACACGAGTACGACCAAGGGAGGGAGTGCAAGCGGTGTAGGAGCAGGAGGGGGGTTGGGTAGTGGGAGGAGGTGACAGAAGGTAGGGCTGGTCTGGGCTTGCTAGCTCAGAAGCAATTGTCGCTTAGGGAGGAGAGGAGGTAGCTGTCTATAAGGGAGGAGACATAGCAGGACTGTTGAGGATGGTTGATGGGCCGCTATTGACCATGTGTTGTCATTGTTTTAATCGATAGGCTGTTTTTTGTTTGATTAAGAGCTGTTGGTGCATTTAAAGGCAAAAGCAACCTCTTGAAGCGGTCGTGGGTCTTAGAATATGACGTACTGACTACTAAGAATTAGGTAGGAAAATGGATGAGGTTACTAGGAAGGATGGGGTACAAGTAGAGAGGGTCGAGAGAAATTATGTACCATCTAAGAACTACCTCACTGCAGCCTATTCTAAATGATATAAACATTTGACACACCCCCATAGGCTAAGTGAGGGGCATCAAAACAAACCCCCTACCTATAATTGAATTTCCGTTACACCATCACATACAAGTAGGGCGCCAATAACTGTCAACGGGAGTTGTGTTTGGCCCCGTCCTCGCTTGGGCGGAGCCGACCTCCTGGTCGAGTGTTCCAGCGGAAGCAACCGACCTGCAGCAGTGGGCACGGGGGCCACTGCAAGGGCGCAGAGCTGGAGGGCGCCTGGAGGAGCCAGGCTGGCCCCTATCCCTCTCTCCTTTCCTTTTAATTGCCTGCACCATCCGCTCGGTTAACCCGTCAGCCTGTGGGTGGTACCTTGACGTCCGCCGATGTGTAATGCCCACCCTCTTCAGCAGTTGATCGAAGGCCCCCCAGAACTCCGTACCCTGGTCTGTCAAAACTTCACCGCATGCCCCGATCATTACCAGCACATACCCCTTATTCTTGTGGCTCAGCGGCTGCTCCCCTGCCAGGTCGAGTGACCACCGATACCCCAGCCCACGGATGGGCAGTCACTGCAGTTCCTGCTGCTCTCTCAGGTTCGCCTTGTTCCTGTTGCACAACTCGCAATCCGCCACTACCTCCTTCACGTCCCGCTGTAGTCCGGCCCACCACCATCCTGTGGTCAGCAACTGTGCCATTCTCACATGGCCATAGTGCCTGGTCCTCCTCTGCCTCGGTCTCTTCCTTTACCCACCACAGTACCGCCGCGTCCTCCCAAACGTCTACCGGTCCCTAACCTCGGTGCCTAGCCTCTTCCGCCTCCCGCATTCTGTTGGCTAACGCCATGAGGCAGGCTGACAGTGAGCCTCCTTCTGACGGTGGTGGATTCCTTGAGAGTCCGTCCACGTGCTGGAGCGCCTTTCATGGGCGGTTCCGTATCTTGAACTCGTACTCTTGCAGTTGCATTGCCCACCTCGCATTCCTCCCGGTCAACGTTTGGTTGGTTATCAACTACCTCAGGGGTTGATGGTCCGTCACTAGAGTGAACGGGCTCCCCTGCAAGTGCGCCTGGAAGTGCTCCACAGCCCACACCGCGGCCAGCCCTTCGCCTTCATAAGAGGTGTAGTTGGCCTCAGTAAGGCTGCAACTCCGGCTGGCGAATGCCACTACCCTCTCTCCCTGCTCCGTCTCTTAGCACAGCATGGCCCCCATGCCCAGGCTGCTCCAGTCCATGTAGAGGACGAAGGGCTGGTCTCTCCTTGGCAGGACCAGCACCGGCCCTGTCTTGACAGCCCTGAGCAAGTCTTTCAGCACTCCTGCTCTCCCTACTAGTTGCTTTCCTTCAGGAGCTGATTCAGCAGGCTGGCCCTGTTGCTGAAGTTTGCCCGACCTTCGGTAGTAGTTGAGAAATCCCAGAATCGCCCTCAGTCTGCTTCGGTCTGTCGGTGCTGCCACATTATCCAACACCGCCACCTTAGCCTCCTAGATGGTTAGTGTCCCGTCCGAGACCTCGAAGCCCAGGTACTTTACGGTGCTTTCCCCAAACTTGCACTGGTTCGGGTGGCAGGTTAGCCCTGCGTTCATGATTGCCCCCAGCACCCTTTCCACATCCGCCACGTGCGACGCGCCTTCACTGCTGAAAATCACGACGTCATCGATGTAGCCGGCACCGCAGTCGATGCCCCTCAGGATCGTGTCCATCAATTGTTGGAAAATTGCCGAGGAGTACCGCATGCCGAACGACATCCCGTTCCATTCCCAGAGCCCATCCACCCCGTGAAACGCCGTCTTCGCGCGGTCTTCTTCTTTAATTTGGCTTTGGTTGAAGAATTGCCTCAGATCCAATGTGCTGAGCACCGTTGCGCCCACCAGTTTGTCGAATATCTCTTCCGGCATCGGCATGGGGTACCGGTTCGCCTCCGTGATCTTATTCAGAAATCGGTAGTTTCCACACATGCGCCTGAAGAGAACCTTCCTCGGTGCGTCCTTTTGCGCAGCGACCACCGTTGCGGCTGTGTACCCTGATGTATATCGACATATCAGACCGGCCTCATACAACTACTTACACTTCTCCTTACACACATCCTTATCCACTCTGGCCATCCGCCGCTTCCGCTGAAAAGTGGGTGTATCCGACATCAGCTCGATCTTCATCTCCCCGATCTTACACTGGCCCAACTCTTTCAGCGTTTAGGCGAAGGCCCTACGATGCTGATTCAGCATTTGCTTCATGCGGTCCGCTTCCTCCGCTGTGAGTGCTAGACCCACCGTCCACAACTCCTCTTCGTTTTCCGGTCCCACGGCAGCTTGCACTGCGGGGGTTTCCCGTGTGTTTGCTTCCAACGCCTTGAAGGACTGCATGCAGCTCCGCTTCGCTAGATGGTTGCGATTTGCCACGCAGCTCTCTCTTCTGGGGGCCATCCATTCTTCCTGATCTCCTCCCCGCTGTTCAGCAGTGCTTCCAGCTTCCGCTTATCCGCGTTGAGCCATTCCTGAGCTTCATAGTTCTCTCCGCTTCCTTCCGCCCACCATTCCTTCTCCACCCTTGTTTCCATATCCCACAGCAGCAGCTGCACCTCCACGATGTATAGAAGCCACTCCATGGCTTGCAGGTCCATCCCCTGCCCCAACGTTTGCTTGCGTTCCCATTCCCTGGCTTCTGGGGCTGCCGTTGCTCCTGGCAGGAAGCCCATGGCTAGCTCCCGCTCTAGCGCTTTCGGTTCTTCTCATTCCCTGGTCCTCAAGTTCTTGACCATCCCAGGCTCCTTCGTTGCTGCCAGTACCGTCGACTGGCACACCATTCGCTCCTTAGGGTGGCGTTAAGCTGAATCCTCGAAGTCTGTGCCTTCCGTGCACCTCTGCTCCTTCACCCGGGGGTTCTCCGGCATTCCCGCCCTCAGGACTCCTTCGCCTCACTGACGTGTCGCTTCTCGGTGTGTTCCTAGCCTCGCCATCAGCTGGAAGGAGGCTTGGCTCCCCGCCTCGTCCTCCTCTTCAGTTCCTACGTAGAGTGCTCCTGCCGGCTTTATGTCGCCCCCCAGCTCCTCCAGCTGCGCTTGTAGCTTGCACATCTCTTCCTCTATCTCCCCCCTACTCTTACTCCTCCCCTTTGGTGGTCGTTTGGCGTAGCAGTCTGCCTCCCTGTGACCTTTCTTCCCACGATTCTTGCACGTCAGGGATTGGGGGCATTCTTGTCGCAGGTGTCCGATTTCCCCGCAGGTGTCGCAGCGCGGTACCTGGCTGCAGTCGCACTGAATATGCCCGGTTTGTCCACATCGGTGGCACCTCCAGTGGTCTGCGCTCGCCGCTTCTTCCAGCCACGCAGGCTTGACTGTAATGCAAAAATGGCATTATGAAAGTCCACCCGAGTTCTCCGCCGGCCTTCAATGCGCGTTACGTTGCACGAGGCTTCAGTCAGCGACAAGGGGTCGACTTCTTCCAGACCTTCTCCCCCACCTCGAAGATGACCACTCTTTGGGGGTTACTGCACGTTGCAGCGCGGCATGATTACGATATGCACTCGCTTGACTTCAGCAGGGCAGCCTGCACGAGGAGATCTGGCTGCGCCGTCCACCTGAGGGTACCCAGTGGAGCCTCCGACGGCCAGTCTACGGTCTCCTCGAGGCGCCCCGTGAGTGGCACGACACACTGAGGACAATACTTGCGGCTCTTGGGTTCCTTTGACTACTGACCCGTCATTGATTCTGTGCACCGACCCTTTTTCTGCCGCCGTTCTACATCCTCGTGTACGTTGAAGACTTGGTCTTTGCTACTGCTAATATAGAGGCACTGGCCCTTCTGAAATATTCCTTCAATTTTTTTGGAGAAATCCCACGTACACCCCTCAATTTCCTTAGAGCTTTCCCAACATGCGGTGTTGGGCTGAGAAAAGCCCTTAGGATCTTTACAAGGCTAAATTCTGAGTAGAGATGTTGTAATTGCGGAAGCGTTTGATGATAAGAGTTGAACCACCTTGCGCTAGTGTGTGAGGGCAAGATAGATTGATTAAAGCAAGAAGATACAAGGGTTCTATAAGAATACAAGGAATACGAAAATATACAACTAATAACCGTTGTTGCTGTTGCGGTTCGATACAGTGACGACTCGGGCAACTGCTCAATAACGAGTCAGTTGTTTGTCCTTGCTGTCGCGCTGTATTTGTCGAGTCAAAGGTCAGCGACCTTTGACCTTCGCGTAACCTCCGGCTGTTACTTTTCTGTCAACCTCCTCGGTTGACTCACCGTTGCTGCGCTGTAGTTCGCCTCGTTTACAGTTTGGTGTTACGGCACTCAAGAAGCGTTAAATCACTTGTTTCCAACACTCCCCTTCGCTTCTGGAGTGTTATTGCTGGTGACGTGGCCCTGTCCAGTCAGCAGCATGCAGTAGACGAACTTCTGCTTTCCGAGCTTCTTGGTCAAATAGTCGGCTACCATCTCAAATGTGGGGCAGTAGGATAGCTCGAGTCTTCCTTTCTCGATCTCGTCTTTCACGAAGAAGTACCGCGGGGCAAACAGCTTCG